CTAATTTGTTCAATTAATAGGCTTGCTCTTCTAGAAGTATCCATCATCACTCTACATTATAATACATCTATTATTCTTATTAGAGTACAATTATTCTAAGAACTATAGTACAAAGGCAGTTACTGGAGACTTGGAGACGTGGGAGAATTCTAAGGGCACTATTCATGAAGAATTGACTCTCAACATTGAAAGGCAGACACTAAAGTATTCCCAGTCTTCAGTTTCAGGTCTCAAAGTGTGGTTTGTAGAACAGAGGCATCAGATTCTTTAAGGTACAGATTTAGGGCCCAATCATAGCCTCCATCAGGACCATCACAGAGGAACTCCCAGAACAGGGTCTTTCAACAAGCACCCCTGATGGATTAAATGCGCACTAAATCTGAGTACACTTCTACATTCTAATTAATATATTATAAAATGCTTATTTTCTTCTCATCCAAGTCTGATATATTCTAGATGTAAATATCTTTTTTAAACCATAAAATGATTTAAAGAAAGCAATCACATTCTAATCTTCCATATAATATTTCCACTTCTCCAGTCTATTAGCATTTTGTTCACAGTAATGACAATGTTTTTAAAGGAAAGAATGAAATATAAGTTTTAAAACATTAAGCTATACTAAAATGTTTATAATGCTGCAACTCTGGAAAAGATCTTTATTATATTTGAAATTTTTGACTGCACAAAAGCCAAAAACAGATGCATTTTATTGGTTGGAACAGTATTCAGAGAATGCTTATATGATGTGAGGGAAGCAGTAAGACATGGTGGTTAAATTATAGAAATCATATGGAGGTTCATCAAAAGACTAGGCATGGACCCACCGTATGATCAGCTGTACCACTTCCCAGTATTTATCCAAAAGCATGAATGTCATCAAACTGCAATGATACATGCATACCCATGTTCATAGCAGCACAATTCACAACAGTCAAACTATGGAACCAGCCCAGATGTCTGTGAGTGGATAAATGGATTTAAAAGTGTGGCAGAGATACACAATGGGATTTTCTTTAACCATAAAGAAAAATGAAGTTATATCATTTGCAGGGAAATGGATGGAACTCAAGAACATTATATTGAGCAAAATAAGCCAGACTCAGAAAGTCAAGGGTAATATGTTTTCTCTCACATGTGGAAGATAGAGAGGAAAAAGGAAGAGAAAGGTGGGGTGGTATCTCATGAAAATCAAAGGGAGAATAGTACAGTAGAGGAAAAGGGTCAGGGAATGCAGGAAGGAAAGAAAAGGGGAGCTACTGGAAAATTATATTATTATATTTTATATATGCACAAATATATAACAACAAATCCCACCATTATTAATTATAATGCATCAAAAAAATATGGGGTTAAGCAAGCAGGTTCTCTGGTCACACTCTCCTCTGCTTGCTGGCTGTGACAACTTAGGCTCTTAACTTCTCTGAGATGGTATTTCCTAATTAGCATTACCAAGAGTAATACCTCAAAGGGTGGCTCAGAGGTTAAAATGGAATGATGCATAGAAAGTCCTTGCATGCTGTCTAGCACATAGCAAGTGCTTAATAAATGCTTTCAGTGACAACACTTACATGGACACAATGTCCTCAAGCCTACACACCAAAAATAGGACACAACTATTCTTAACTTTTCTAACCAAAAGATAATCTCTACCATAGGGAAGTGAAACATTCAGCAAGTCTCCTCTTTGCTACTCCAGGCTTTTTACAGAAAGGGTACATGTGAAAGGCCTGCTGCATTCACATGCAGGCCACAGTGGGCTTGGCTGACAGCCCCAAGCATGGTATCCTCAGAGGCCACACTTTGTACATCCTGAAAGTCCCCACAGCACAGTTAACAGTGCCTTCCACCCAGTGGGCCTCAACAAACATGTGTTAAGTTTCCCTAAGCATGTGTTAGACTCTCTGGGTTTGTAGACATATAATTCCTTTCCCTACAGCTGCTTTTATCCAGGGGAAAAAAAAAAAGCAAAGAAGCAATAAGAATAAGCTAAGCTAGAGAAACAATATAAAAGAGCTCACATGAATACTTCAGAATATTCTCTCTGGCAGCCCCAAATCTTGCTCATCTATGTTAAGCTAGACATTGCAAAATAGGCTTCCCTCATATTTTGGTAATAGGCTCTTCATTTCTTCACAGCCTTGGGAAGGGTCAGAGAAAAAGGAAGATGGAGCCAGTGGAACCCTTTGGGAGAAGATGAGACTGCTCCAAATTGGCTCCAAATTATTTACAACCTGGGAAACCCAGATATGCCAGATTTGGGAAGCAAAGAGGCTTTGGGGGTGGTGTAACATTTAGAGCTTTTCAATGAAGAAACGGTTTCCAATACATACCCATGCAAGTCATCTCAGTGCTTGTCAATCTGAGCAATAGGCAGATGTGCCAGCTCTCATGCTGAAACCAGATGTCCCCTTTAGCAAGTGCTGACAGCCAAATGACAAAATACCAATCGAAACCTTCGCTGTCCTTTCCCCTCATGCCTACTGCGTTTCACTCAATTATTAGTTATTGAGTGAGGCATAAAATAATGACAAGAGAACCAAATTTAAAAGAAGAAGGGAGACTAAACTAGAACTTCACAGCACAGTGATGAACTTGGAGTTCAGCTATTCACTGCATAATCAACTCGAACAGTTACAGAGACTCCAGTTTTCATAAGAAACTCTTCAACGAGCATAATTATTATATTATTGTGAAGACATTTTCTTCCATGACCTTGTATATGATCATGACAATTCAGGGTTTATCTGTATTCAGTTCCTTCCTGTTGAGAGATACCTGCAAGGGATTCCCCCCACCCTTGCCCCAAACAAACCTGCAGAGGGAGCTGGTTACTTGAATAAGCAATTGATGCCTTAGACTTGCAAGTCAATCTAGCATTGGGTTGACTGGGTTCAAACACACTAAACATTTGTGAAGAAAGTGGGCTGATGGTTGACAAAAAATCGTTGCTTTGAGGATTGAACGTTTACAGCTTGTTGAGCTAATAAAGATAGAGACTTGCTGAATGTTTCACTTCCCTATGGTAGAGATTATGGGAAGGTCACATGGTACTGAAACCATCTGGTTTTGGGTTTTTGTTTGTTTGTTTTGGTACTGGGGATTGAACTCTGGGACACTCAACCACTGAGCCACATTCCCAGCCCTATTTTGTATTTTATTTAGAGACAGGGTCTCACTGAGTTACTTAGTGCCTCACTTTTGCTGAGGCAGGCTTTCAACTTGCGATCCTCCTGCCTCAGCCTCCCAAGCTTCTGGGATTACAGGCGTGAGCCACCATGCCCTGCCTGAAACCATCTATTTTTTATCCTTCTCTCCCACATGCTTCCTAAGAGTGGGATCATAGATCTCATTTTCTTTGTTGCTCCATCATTCTCTTTGTCACTAAATCAATCTTTTTGAGAGAGAATAAGTCTTGAGTCCCTCTCTCATTCTCTCTCTCACTGTCTATATCTCTCTCTCTCTGTCTCTCTCACTATCTGTATTCCCCCCCCACCCCCCACCCCGAAGACACTTAAAAGAAATTCACCAAAGATCAAGTGGCCTTACTATTAAGGCCAGGAAATACTCCCCTAAGAAGGAACTGTCCTCCTGAAGCTGGTTCTACCAAAACCAACAGCCCCACTACACTATTTTCTCAGATAAAACAGAAAGGCAATGTGGGACCATAAGAAGGTTCTGAATTCCCCAGCATCTGAACAAGGTAATTTAGGAGTATTACCTCCCTCATTCCATGTGGGCTGTTCAGAAAGCAAATACAACCAACCTCTCTTTAAAAACTATGCAAACCACATAGCATAGCAAGGAAGATTATGAACATGAAATGGTCGCCTACCAGGTATGTTTTGAAATTTCCCAATAGGTGCCAAAGAGGAAAAGCTGACATGGATGCCAGCCATAGACACCTGCTACTTCAGCGTATTCATCCCCCCTGCTCCTAGGTGTATCTGGAACATTTCCTTCCCCAGTACTGGAGGAAGATCTTCACTTGGCAAACTTGCTCACAAAGGCTGGTTTGATGCCCAGTGCCTCTGAGGTGAGAATCCTGTGTCCCTGGGTGGTAGGCACCTGGCCAGGCTGCCAGGCTGACATTCTCTAGTGCTCCCTGCAGAACCCCAGAGTGGTCTTCTCTTCCCATCCTTTATTCTCCCCCTGAACCAGCTGATATACTTGCCATGTTTTCCACAATCATTCTCCCTGTCTCTAGATCCACATAAATAATGAAAACCTGTTAGCCACCTTCACCCCGATTTCCAGCATTCAACAATGAATTATTTCTTGGGTCTCAGTGTCATTCTATTTCTAGAATGCACCAGGCTTGGACTACATCAAGATATAAAACACAGATCCCCATCCTCATGGAACATACATGCCAGTGACATGTTTGCCTAACTCAGTGACCTGAAAAGAACCAACTACCTGCTGTGATCATTCTCTACGGCTCAGAGAACACCAGGCTTTCTGCCCTCTGGCCCAGCCCCTACTATCAAACTTGCCTTCCCCTACACTCTGTACTCCAGTTACATCTACCTGAGCCACCATTCATTCACTCACTCCTCCTTTCCTCTGGCATGTTTACCCCCCTAGCTCAGCCCTCCCGCCTTCTCCTGGACTGCCAAGCCCTGCTCATCCTTTAAGAACCAGCTCCATCGACATCTTCTTGAAAGGCTTCCTGTACTCAAGCAAGCCATCGGTCACTTCCTCCTCCAGTTCAATTCGGATATTGTACTAATCTGCTTCCTGTTTTGCTTCCACCTCCAGACTGAGAGCTCACTGAAGTCAAGGTTCATGCTGTGCAGCTTGGACCACCTCAAGCAATTTCCCTTGTACATGACTGACATGCAGAAGGTGCTCAAGTAAACATCGATTCATTTTTGGTAACCCTCTTTCATTTAGAGTCAAAAGCTTTTTGCTCACCACTGAGGATCCCTAATTCAGTGGAAAGAATTCTTCTTTTCCTAGAGTTGGTAGATATTAGATTAAATAAGGTAGTCACTCACTTCACTTCTGGAAGCAACAGCCCGGTGCAGCGGAGTCAGCCACATGTTGTCCTTGGCATTCACACGAGCTCCTGGAACCAAACGGCACAAGTTAGAGGAATAATGGAGTCAAAGAACCTTCTGCCAGTGTTACTCAAATGCTCTGTCTTGCTCCTGTTTGCCTGATATAACCACCAGATTTTTTTTTTTTTTTTTTTTTGGCATCCATCATGTCCTGACAATATTTTGTCTGGGATGAGAGGACCTGTAAAAATGTTTTATCTAAAAATTCCAATGTTTTCTCTAGGACTAGCCAGATATTTTGATAGGAAAAAGCCAGCTTCCACAAAGCTTTTGCACAGACACAACATGGAGCCTATGTAGATTGCTCACAGCCCCCTCCTGCTATGGAGTGGGCAGAGAGGCTCAAGCATGAGTCGGAACCAGCTCACACTCACATACTCCTCACACCCAATAAATTTTATGAAGCCATGTCATCATCATGGTGCAGAGGCTCCCCCTGAATGGATTCAGGGGAAGCAGGATATGCTCTTCTTCCAGGAGACTCTCACAGTTCTCCGTGACAGCAAGCCCTCCAAGTCTATGTCTGAACAGCAAAAATACCCACAACAAACTTCCTTTTTTGTGGTTTGGGGTTTTGATCAGTCTTTTGGTCAGAGATGAAACGTTCTATTAAAGAGCTTACAGAAGGGGAGGACGAGAAAACTATGCAAAATGTCTCCGTAGATGCAACAAGAAGAGCCCATTTTAGCTGTAGGACAGCAAACAAAGAAGCTCAGGAGGTCAAAGAGTGGAAGCATGAACCAAGAAACTACACAGTAAGGCAGGGGAGGGGAAGAAAAGAGGGGGTACCTCAAGGGACAAGAGCCGAGAAAGTAAGTCAAGTAGAAGCAGAGGTTGACTAATCTCCTCGGACCAACGCCAGCTGGCAGCTGAAATACAGAACTTTAAAAAGGCAGCAAGAGACTTTCATGGGTAAAAGGGAGCTTGACGTTTAGTTTAAGGCATGAACCAAAGGAAATAACAAATCATAGAACTTACACTGTCTTAACTGAAGAACAAATACCATTAACAGCAATTAACCACAGAAAACATGAACACAATGTCTAAAGCAAAGAGAGAGAAAATACCTCTCCCTCCAGCCTCCATTCTGATTTCATTGGTTTGAGATGGCATCAAGCACAAATATTTTTTAAATGCTCCCTAGGATCCAAGATTATTGTAACATCCTGTCAAGGTTGAGAGCCACCGATGAATTGTTGCTTAGTATATATCAAGGTTAAAAATCATTTGAAAGCTAATCTCATTAGTACCAGCTTGCCTAAAAGGTTTCAACCTCCCTCACTTTGATAAGGAACACAGTAAAATCAGTGTGGGTGGGCAAAGGCTGCACACATCTCTGGCCCCAGTAGCAGGATGCTCTGAGCTAAATGCTCTGGAGTAAACTGAACGTGGTGTTGGAAGATCCGTGGTCAGAAGACCCAGATTCAAGTTCTGATTTTAACACCTACTGGCCCCAGTGATTTAGAGCCCCTAATCTGTAAATGAGTCTAACAATAACAATAATACTAACACTTCTCTATTCATTGCATTGGGTACCTGGGAGAATCAGATGGACATGAAGATGCTTTGTAAACTGCAAAACACTAAAAAAAAAAAAAATATTAGCAGTTCTTATTTCCAAATCACTTCTAATGCTCATCTACCTCTAGATCTACAACTCAGACTTTCACAGCAGGTAAAAAGTATGGCCATTGCCCTACCAAAATGAGAAGCCCTACACAGAGATTTAAGAACACAAAGAATCATCACCTAGAACTTGTACAAGCAAGTATCATTTTAAGAGAAAGAGAACTCAAGTGTCAGAGAATGCTAAAGAAAAGAAAACCCAGATATTGTTAAAACAGAAAAAAAATGATGGATCTTAAAATCAAAGTATCACTACCTAAAACAAATCTTATGGGGAGGGGAAAGGAGGGATCATGAACTGAAATTGATTCCTGTGCATATATGAGTTTGTCAGGATGAACCCAACTGCTATGATTAACTATAAAGCTCTAACTTAAAATTTTTAAATTTAATTTTTAAAAATAGATTTTTTAATTAAGAATACAAACAACAATAAGTGTTAGCAAGGATGTGGGAGAAAAGTATACTCATACATTGCTAGTGGGACTGCAAATTGGTGCAACCAATCTGGAAAACAATATGGAAATTCCTTAGAAAACTTGATATGGAACCACCATTTGACCCAGCTATCCCACTCCTCAGTCTATACCCAAAGGACTTAAAATCAGCATACTATAGTAACACAGCCACATCAATGTTTATAGCAGCTAAATTCACAACTTGGATGTTCTTCATTAGATGAATGGATTAAAAAACTGTGGTATATATACACAATGGAATATTACTCAGCATTAAAAGAGAATAAAATTATGGCATTTGCAGGTAAATGGCTGGAGTTGAAGAAAATCATGCTAACTGAAATAAGCCAATCCCCCCAAAAAGCAAAGGTCAAATGTCCTCTCTTGTTAAGTGAATGCTGATCCATAATGGGGTGGGGGAGTGGATGGGAAAAATGGAGGAACTTTGATTGGGCAAAGGGGAGGGAGGAAAGGCGAGGAGGCACGGCAGCAGGAAAGATGGTGGAATAAGATGGACATCATTACCCTAGGTACATGTATGACTTCACATATAGTGCGATGCTACATCTTGTATAACCAGAAGAATGAAAAGTTGTGCTACAATTGTGTACAATGAATCAAAATGCATTCTGCTGTCATAGATACCTAATTTAAATAAATAAGTAAATAAATTTTTAAAAATTCATATTTTATCTTCTGAGTTCCAACAGATTGCCAGATTATTGTTACTAAGCCTACCTTTCTGGTTTAGAAACAAACATAATTAGAAAGAAAGAGAGGGAGGGAGGGAGGGAAAAAAGGAAGGAAGGAAGGAAGGAAGGGAGGGAGGGAGGGAGGGAGGGAGGGGGGAGGGAGGGAGGAAGAAAGGAAGGAAAGAGGAAAGAAAACAGCATTTATCCTTACAGGTTCTAGTATTTCTTCTTCCAAATTTCTAGGAGTTAGTCAACCCTTCTAAAACTACCCACCTTTTTGTCATGTCTTTTCTTGGGTCATAAAAATGTCTAACCACATTGTGTTCAAGTTGTGTATCTCTCTTGTGAGCCAAATGCACATTTGTTACTTATTTTTAGGCTGTTTCTTTGGTACTCATGTCACAACAAACACCATTCAGATTTCACGCAGTCTTGAAGGACTGGCTTCAAGTCCATTATTCATAGTCTCCATAGTCTCTGAAGGAGTAAATTTTGTTTTTTGCTTTTTTTTTTTTTTTTTGTAAATTCAAAAGCTAATGCAAGAAGAAACCCAATTGGCAAGACACATACTGGAAAGATACTTTTCAAAATTCACCAGAGAGAAGCAAATGGAAGCAGCATTAACATACCATTTCATATCCAACAAATTGGTACAAGATAAATGTAACAATGCCTAGAGGTAACAAGGATATAGAGTAACAAGAAGACTCAGCATAAAACCAGTAGCAGGGTGAATTGGTATAAGCTCCTTTGGGGGAATGATGAGGTGGCATCACCTAGTAAAACTTATGTTGAGCATACCCCCTCCCACCTGGAAATTCCACCCCAATCATATCCTTACACATGTAAGAATGTTCACTGCAGCATGATTACACAATAAGAAGTTGTAATTCTAAATGTTGATCAAGGGGGAAATGCATAAGTACATTGTGGTGATTTGTACAATGGAATCCTACATGGTCATGGAAATGAACAGCCTGAAGTTCTGTATATACACAGATGTACTTAAATTTGTTAAACTGAACAAATGAATTGAGTTGCAGAACAAAACCTTGTGGCATAATTACAGTTATATAAGGTGTTTATATTTACAAAAACAATTCTATATGTTGTTTATGGGTACATAGAAATGAAATAAAAGCTAAAATATGGTTAGAGAGAACAGATGCAAATTCTGGACAGTGGTTGCATCTAGGGAGGAAGAGTGGGAAAAGGGATGAAGTTAGGGTGACCAGATGGCTATAACTGGGCCTTCAATGTTTTAAATGTCCTTTTTAGAAAAGACACAATGCAAATATGACAAAATGTTAAGATTTACTAAAGCTTGGTAGAAAGTATGTGGATATTCATTATATCATTCTCCATACCTTTCTATATGCTTCAAATATTTCCTAACAAAGTATTTTTTAAAGAAAGCTAGGACATTTGAGGTTTTGTGTTTACTAAAAATGGGAGGGGTGGTAAAACTCAGTTGCATTTTCTTAGATTATTTTTGTTCTGGGTTAGCAACCCTTTACAGAAAACAACACTCTCCACCCTTTCCATATAAAGTGGCCCAGCCATACAGTATATACTGCCAAGATTTTCCTAAGGCTTGCTCCAGGTGAGGAAAAAGCAAGTGCTGCCTCTGTATCTGAAGATGACCTTGGTTATATGGTCTGATTTGAAAGGAAAATTTCAAATTTTAATGATATGTTACCTGTTAGTCTTATGTTACTTTTTTTTCATGTTCTTCTCCCTCCACAATCATTATAGCTCATCCCAGCTTGTTGCCCGGTAAGGCAGGATGAGCATACCGAGAAGGAGACCACTGTAACCCTTCCTCCCCAGGGTGGGAGAGCTCCAGAATCTGGGGAACCTTTTGCAGTCTCAGTGCCATTTGATTATCACTACATTGTGAAGCTAAGCATCTCACTCCAGAAGCTCCCTCAACAGCCAGACGACCAGACACCAAAGGCAGCAAGGCACATGCCCTACAAGTATTTTATACTCAGACTGGTGGTTCTGCTTTTGCCACTGCAAGTCTGAATCTTACCTGCCATCTCTTTCTTCTTCCCCCACACTTTCTTTTTCCTTCCCTCTTTCTCCTCTCCCTTCCTACCTTCTCCTCCTTTACCTGTTTCTCCTCCTCTTCCTCCTTTCCCCCACTCCCCCGCCACCCCTCTCTCTCCCTCTCTCTCTCCCATACAACCCATTTCTGACTTTTGCATGTGTGTGTTAGGTGACTCTATA